GGGGGGGGGGAAAGGGATATAGGTTAGATAATAATAGTAATAATTAAATAAGGGGTTACTAAAAAGAAGACCTTAAATAAGTTTAAAAATGCGTGATGTATTTCGTGGACAATAGTTCGGGAGTATTAATTATTTCATATATTTTTAAGGGAATGAAAGACATTGTGACGGAGAAAAATAAAAATAAACAAGAAGATGAAACCAGAGCCGAGTCTTTAAAGTAAGTTCTCTACTTTTAGGGTTTATACGTGCTTCATTTTTATTTTTTCAGACCAAAACGATGGGATGAAAAACTGGAAAAGCCACCACTAAACTACTCTGAAATATTTGAAGATGATGCAGGACAAATACCAGGGTTGTGCATATGGGAAATCGAAAATTTCCTTCCCAATCGCATTGATGAATGTACACATGGAAAATTCTATGAGGGTGATTGTTATATTGTATTAAAAACACTCCTTGATGACAGCGGATCATTGACATGGAAAATTTATTTTTGGATTGGCAAAAAAGCATCCGTAAGTAATAACTAATTACCCTGTTATACTAACATTTACTACTTGTTTAATTTTCAATAATGTATTTGGCAAGTATGTACAATTGTTTCACTCTGCGGAAAATATCTGAACGAGTTTGTTACACAATTGAAAACGTGAAATATGAGTTTCCAAAAAAGTATGATGGATATAGTTCAGCATTAAACAAGTTAAAATAAACCAGTAGTTTTTAATTTGAAGTATAACGTTTTTATTCAAAGTTTACAGAGAAAAATGGCAGATTAGATATTTTTTTATCATGAAATTATTCTTCAGAAGTCTTCATTATAAAACTTTTATTGCTTAAATAGGGTGATTTGTGAGAACAAAAAATATGTAGAAATGTTGACACGTATTAATAACTGACGAAGTTATTAGCTCTTGATAACATTTGTACTAAATAGAAAAGTATACAAATAATACCCAATTGTGTAGTCCCAAGCTGTTTTAGTAAATAAACTCTATGTTCGTTTTACCTTATTAAGGCATCTTCAGGGTTATATATTCTACTCAGATATGAAATGTTTGATTTTATGATGTTACGGCATTATCGCTCACTTCTATTGTTTCTTGAATTATATGGTAATAAGTATAATCAATTTACACCTAATTTTAAGTAATAATTTTTTTTTACGTTTCTATTTTTAGTTGGATAAGTTAGCGTGTGCTGCGATACATGCAGTAAATTTAAGAAATTACTTAGGTGCCCAGTGTCGTACTATTCGAGAAGAACAAGGCGACGAATCTGAAGAATTTTTGTCACTTTTTGATACTCAGATCACTTATATAGAAGGAGGAAGAACATTAAGTGGATTCTACACTGTTGAAGATATGGTAAAGAATATTTTTACTCTCATTAAATAAAAATTGAATTTTTATATCAATAAGAATTCATATCTTTTTATAAAATTGTTCACTTTCCTTCGAAATGTAACCTACTATTAAAACACTTCAAAGACTGTCATCTTTGAAACAATTATTTTGCATAGTATAGTATCTCTCTAGTAAAAATCGTTTTTGTTAAAATAATGTTCTTTTTTAATTCTAGATTTATGAAATTCGTTGTTATCGAATTCATGCAGCAGGTGCCTCAATTCACTTAGAGACCGTGGCAATTGCTCCGGAATCCTTAGATCCGGGTTACGTGTTTATGTTGGATGCTGGTCCTAAAATTTTCTTATGGTATGGAAAAACTTCCAAAAACACATTAAAATCGAAAGCTCGACTGATGGCTGAAAAAATTAATAAGAATGAACGCAAAAATAAAGCTGAAATATTGACAGAAATGATGGGAAAAGAGAGTACCGATTTCTTGCGAGTTTTGGGAATTCATGACGATGAGTATCGACTAGTTCCACAAGTAAGATTAATTGTTAAATGTGCATTACTTACCTACTTACATTTTCATAAAAATTTTTGCTCTCCAACAATACCTATGAAACTTTTTAAATTATCCTGTAATAAATACACACAATTAATTGAAAGAATGATGAAATTGAAGAAAGATTCAATTCGACTTTTCTCATAATTTTAAAATAAATTTGTAGATAGTGTATACAATAAAAATATGAAAATCTATGGACATAGGTCGCATTTACACTTCTCTGCTTTTATTGTCAATAAATAACTTTCGATTAAATTTAATATTATTGGCAGGAACATGTTGACCCGGATTTTGTTCCCGTTCAACCAAGACTGTATCAAGTGAGATTAGGAATGGGCTATTTAGAGTTACCTCAAGTGGAAATACCTCATGGAAAACTTACACAAAATCTTCTCAACAGCAAAAATGTGTATATTTTAGACTGCTATGTTGATGTTTTTGTATGGTAAGTGTAAAAAATGTACTTTAGATTTAATTTACATTTTTTGATATCTATTTATATTCATTTAAACACATAACATTAATTACTGATATTAAGTATTTAATATCTCCACTCGCATTAAATGTCTGTTAAAACATT